GCCGGGGGTGGTGGTTCTCGACCCCTGGTGTGGGAGGGTGGTTGTGAAGCCCGAGGTGAACTGTCCCCGGGCGACCTCTCGGTGAGGATTCCGGGCGGGCATATCGAAGCAGCGCAGCGTGACTGTCCGGTGTGTCACGTCGGAGCGTCAGGTCTTGATCTGCCCCGCAGTAGCGTTACGGGCCTCGTACGGCTGTGCCGGCCGAGCCCCGGCTATGAACCTCTGGGAGGGACTATCCAAGTAAAGAATTACAAAGTATCACGGTTTTCCTGCTCTTCATGGAAGTCTGGAACTGGTTATCGTGCAGGTTGCAAAAGCTGGTTTCTGTGCTGAGGTGGGATTTATAACATCTAGTGATGCTAGTGCGCCACAGCGTGCTAGGAGCTAACTGAAACGCCTGGCTGGTGGAAAAATGCGACTTTTATTTCCAAGACATAAACTAAACTAGTATGCAGTATTAGCCCTCTCTTTTTAAAAAAAATTAAAAAATGAAACACTGAGCATTAGCATTAGCAGGGGCTTTTGAAGTAAGGGATTATCTGCAGTGTAGAACAGGACTCATTAAAGATGCTGCTTGTCTGATTTATGTGCTTAAAAATTATGCACACAGTTTTCTTAATAGATGCAGAAATGTTGCATCTGTCATGTAGTCTCAAGAACGTTAGAAATGGTCATTGCTTTCTGAAAATTGTGCTTATATTAGTGGTCTGTGTTTATGTGAAGGTGTGCACCCTTTCTTTACACAGGTTAATGCCACTTGAAATTTTTCCACAACTGTAACCTGCCCACAGCTTGATTGAGAATCAGGCCGTTGACTTTGAGTGACTCGAGAGCATATAACCTGCTCTGACTGCGATTAGTGCATAATATTTTCTGGAAGTATTTTCTACAGTAACTCAGTTGATTTTTACCTTAAACTATTCAGAAATGTAGAACTGTTTTAAGAGTTTAGTTGAATGTAGTGGTTGATTTTTAATTAATTTTGTTGACTCTGTGAAGTCATTTTTAGAGGTGGCTGAAGTTGTTACAAGGAGGCATGTAAGGAAGGCTTTTAATAATTAATTGAAATGTAGAGAGAAGAAGATACGAAAAAGTACAAAGTCTGTGTGGAATTAAGCCTTATCAGTATTGTTTTATATGAATCTGAACATGCTGAAACGAAGGTTGTTTTACTGTGCACTCATGGACTTTGTGTTGTTCTGCTTTTGTAAGATACAACTTCATCTCTCTGTCCTGTGGAAAATTACTTGCTACCATTCTGCTTGTTAAATTCTTTGACTCAGTTTGGCAATTTGTGTTTTACCTCTGTGTGAATCACACAGAATAGAAAAATTGCTTACAAAATGCTCAACTCAAAGTCAGATTAATTAGGTGCAAATTAGTTTTATTCATTTATTCTTTGCGAACCACCTTTCTTTGGGAGAAACAAGCAGTTCATCAGAGATTTAGAACTGAGCATTGTCAGAATCCTAGAAAGGCCTAGAATGGAGAGGACCTTAGTGATCATCTAATCCAACCTCCCTGCTGTGGGCGGGGATGCCTCTCAACTAGATCAGGTTGTCAAGGCCTCATCCAACCTGGCTTTGAATATCTTCAGGGAGGGGACATCCACAGCCTCTCTGGGAAATCTATTCCAGAGTCTTGCCGCCCTTGTACTGAAGAATTTCTTCCTAAGATCCAATCTAAACCTACTCTCCTTCAGTTTAAATCCATTTCCCCTTGTCCTGTTGCTGGATGCTCGTGTAAAATAGTTCCTCTTCAGCCTTCCTCTAGGTTCCTTTCAGGTATTGGAAGGCAGATAGCTTAAAATGGGACAGCTTGGAGGTTTACAAGAGAAGGCATTGTTAATATAAGTAAAATTTAGACTTTTCACCCCCTTTAGTCATGGCAGAGACCACAGTTCCTCTCAGTAGAATTAAAAAGTTGTATAGTTACATTTAAAATTCACTTTATTGATTCACAAATAAGTGAAAGCGGCTAAGGAGTACATACTTGGATAAATGCAAGGTATGTGTTTGTAAGTATGCGTTCTTTGTGGCATAACTCAACCAATAACTGCCAGTTATTTTGGTGTCAAATGTGGTGACTAAATCAGAGATGCCCTTTGGTTATCAAAGTGCATGATTTGTGCATGACAGAGTGGGCATCTGCAGATTGTGGTGATTACAATAGCAAGTCCTGGTTCTGTAGCCGTTTGCATTTTCTCTTTCTTTGCTTTCCCTTCTGTTTCTCTCATTTGTTGGAAGGTCCTAATCTGAGGTTCATTTCACGTGGTTAGGTGCTGCGTGTAGTTTCTGATTCACAGTAATTTTGGTACTTGCATAGGATTGTTGGGATTTGACTACTTACTACAGGTAGTTGTTCATATTTTTAAACTCATGCCTTTGCCTCAATTTGAGAATGTCTGAAGTGGAGCTAGCCTTAATACGTTATTGTGAAATAATCTTTTCCTGAAATACTTGGTGCTCTTGGGAACAGAAATGTAGTATGGCCTCAATCACATTATTTCAGGTTTTTTGAAACTGCCTTGCTTTTTTTGACCAAGGCAATGTTCAGACATAACTGGAAGATGATTAGCACTGTTTGCCATTTGTTTTATTAAACGGCATTAATAAAAAAGTGAAATAAACGTAAATGTAGTTTTTATAGGCCTGCATGCCATCAGCTCTGTTTTTTGTTATGCATATATGGAAATAATAAATCACGAACCTAATAACATGTTAGGTTACTGAGAGGACTATAGCTTTTAAATAGTAGTTAACACAGAAATTTTTTTTTTTTTTTTATACCAGCAGGTCTTGGTAAGTAGGTGTTTTTTGTTTAGAAATTAGAGGAAGTTCAACATCTCTGCTTATATTTGAGATATGTGGTAATCTACTTAAGTATGTATTTAGTGAGGCGTATTAAGTTACTCTTGCCTCTCTCAGAAGCAAATTATGTTTTAACTATTTGCTCTTCCTCCAGTGCCTTGCATTCCATGATATTTCACCTCAAGCTCCAACACATTTCCTGGTGATTCCTAAGAAGCCAATTGTCAGATTGTCTGACGCTGAAGATTCTGATGAATCCGTAAGTACTCTAGAAGCTTTCTGTACACCAAACTGTACCTCTGATTACTTTGTAATTTACTAGACTATCCCCCTTTTCCTTTTGACATCTCAAAGAGGCAGAGTAGTTTTCTGATACTATAATGCTTTTACTGTAGCTTAGAATGGAAACGGAGTTAAGGTTTTCCAGTAAAATTTGTGACATAAACCAAAACCTGTCTCTGGGTATGTATTTGCAGTGCAAAGTTCATTTTTATTTCAGATGTCTTGATGTCTGTTTTCATGTTGTACAGGTAGTACTACTTACCCTGTTAGGACTGTGGAGGTTTTTGGCAGGTCAGAGATAAAGAAAGGGAAAGTTAGCTGAGACATGCTAAATATTTCATTTGTAAATATAAACATTGAGTTAACAGATTTTGTAAACCATGATAAAATAAAGTTTCTTTTCCAGTAGAATTATGTATGTTGCCTGAAGAAGTAACAGGGACTTTAACCAGGAGATAAAATTAGTTTCTGTGAGACTTGTAGTTTGTTACTGTCTAGCCTGAAAAAAATCTCTGGCTCTTTTTCCCCCCTATATTATGCATAGTAAGTAGTTATAGCTTTTCTTGAAAAGTGTTAGTAGCAGGCAGACAACAATTTGAAGAGCAGTGACTGAATTTCCATGAATTAGCTTACTGACTTATCTAAACAGTTCTCTTGCTTTCATTCCTTCTTCTCCTGCCCTCTCCCCTTTTTGTGTATTTTCTGTTCTTTTTTTGTTCTTTTTTTTTCTTTTTTCTTCTCCAGCTTCTTGGGCATTTAATGATTGTTGGCAAGAAGTGTGCTGCTAACCTGGGCCTGACCAATGGATTCCGGATGGTTGTGAATGAAGGGCCTGAGGGTGGGCAATCTGTCTATCATGTACATCTCCATGTTCTGGGGGGTCGCCAGTTGGGCTGGCCGCCTGGCTAAGATTTTTACACAACAAGAATTAACTGCATGCATACAGATTACCACCGAATCGATTAAATATGTTGCCCATCAATCTAGCCACTGTTAATGTATTTTTTTTTAAATGTGTGTCTAAAAAAGGTAATAAATACTCTGAACAACATTCGCACAATAAAGATTTAGCATGTTGGAATCATGTCTGTCTGGTGTGCCTTACTGATGGAAACAAATTCTGCAAGTTAAAATGGTGTTCTCTGAGTTTAAGTACGTGGTATGTTTCAGTCTTAACCATCTTCTTTAGATGGTAATTTGCCTATGCATTTGAAACCTGAAGGTGCAACTGCTTACCAGCCTTTCATGTCTTTTGGGAAGAAAATGTGTAAGCTTTTTGAATGTGGAATGAAGGCCAGCCAGCCTCCAGAGGCATGGCATTGCTGAGCAGAAAGCTGAGTGTCTGTTGCAAGACTGAGGTATCACTGGCAGATACAGTAGCGCAATGGTAAAGGGAAACGTGCTATCAAAACAAGTTCATGAAACACACTTAAGGATAATTGACCAACAGTACCCAAATTTGGGAAAGGGCATGTGGTGTGTGTGCTGCTTTCACTTTATTAATTTCTGTTCTGTATGTATGCTTTATACCAAGATTGACATTTGTGAATTAAATAAAGCGTGACTGGTGAAGTTAATTGCATCACTGATGAACCCTGTATGAAAGTAACTCCATAAAGCTTTTATTGCTTTGCTTGAAATCTGACTTGCAAATGTATGTGTGTCAGGAAGGTAAGAAGCCTTCCAAATGAGGGCAGAACTGTGGAATTTTTCAAGGGTAGCCACGAGGAGGCCTTGCTGACCAATTTAGTTGTGCCTCAGTTTCAGATGGGTATGTTCTGTAGCACCTTGAAAACCAAAGATTCACATTCAAACGAAGAGTAGTACTGAGCTTAAGACACATGTCAGACAATGATGAACCTGATATGGGAAAAAGATAACTGAAGGAGAACTTTCTTGTTCCTGGTTTGTGGCTGTTAAGAGACCACCAAATCTTCAGGAAATGGGAGAACTGGATAATAGTTGCCCTCTACTGGCTCCTAAAGGCACCTGATGGTTTGCTGCTGAAAAGTGGACTTAAGCCTCTCTACCATCAATTTCCTTCTTGAGTTGCAGCCCATTACCTCTGTGGCTAGGTGATCAGCTCTGGTATGGCTGCTCTGTCCTATAATTTCGAAGGCTAGTTACAAAATAAGATATGTTAACTGCATCACAGGGATTGAGCAAACTTCAGCCTAGTTACTGAACAGGGAAATGGACATGGGAAAATAAGGTTATTCTGCCCTTCAGCTCTACATTACTGACAGATGCAAGGCACTCACTGAGAGATATCTTTCTTTCTCGACGTAATCAAATGTAGTTAGGTAACAAAAGCCTGTAAGCAACCCAAGGATTGTTATAACCCACCTTTATTTAATCTTCAAGGGCAGAAGGTAGAAATTGTTTACCTGGAATAGATAGAAGCTGATCTATGGTTTGAAATTGAATTGCTCTGTTGCTTGTGTCAGCTTAACTGGTTGAGCTGGGCAACATCTGTTGTTATATCTGTAAGCTCCCCGAGGTGTCTGGAAGGTGTTCTTACTTCTCAGAGTTAGAGGGGGAGTGTGTTGGGAAGCAACAGGCAATTCTGAAGAAGCTCAATATGGTGTATAAATTCAGGAAGACTGGATTATTACTGTAAATTTCAGTGGTTTCTGGTGGTATTTATGTCTCACCTTGCAGGTAATACCACTGTTACATTTATTTAAAATCAAAGACAGTGAATGAATATTAAGCAATAATGCACTGAAAAAGAGCTTGGCATGGAAAATTACTCGTAGAGAAAGCTTACAGGTCATGTATTTATTAACTGTAAGGATATAAACAAGGTAATCGAGATATGTGTATAATTCAGCATTTTAGTTTGAATGAGAACTGTTCTTTCAAAATTAATTTATGTTTTAGTTTGCATTTTTGGAGTAGTCTTGGGCTGTGTACACCAGATTATTCTCAAATGAACTGCAGGGTGTATGCCAGGACAGACCAGGTATACTCTTGGTATCCACATTTGGTCCGTGTGCCCAGACTAGAGCTTGGCAAAAGCAACCCCATTGTTCCTTTCATCTTATTTTGAGCTGTCCTGTCTTTAATATTGGGGAGATTTTCTGTTGGAGGAGGGGAAATGTGAGAGGAGATCAAAGGGGCGTGGTCCTAAGAGAGGGGAAGAAGAGTCTCAGAGGAGGAGAGGGAGAAGGCTGCCGGAGCAGGACCTTTCCCTGCAGCCCGTGGTGGCTGAGGTGGCAGAAGGGTGACTGCCTGCCAGCTGAGGGACTGATGGCAGTGAGAATTTCCGGGGTATGTTGGTATGTGCAGAGGCCCGTGTGAGAGGGGAGAGAGAGCGAGCATCAACAAGGGACGTACCTGAAGTGACCTGTGGCCCCGAGGGACTTAGGAGGAGGAAGGGCATTACCTCCTGTGCGATGGACACCACGTGGCGTCAAGGAGAGACTGCAAGGAACCCTCTTTCTCGAGTAGCTGCCATGGACAGTGAGTAGTGGCCAGATGGACTGCAGCCCCCCAGCCCCTGCTCCCACTGCACTGACTGTGGTGGGAGGGAGGAGGTAGCTGGAAAGATAGGAGGGGTGGGAGCGAAGTATATTTAAGATCGGGTCATGTTTACTAATGTCTTCCTCTCACTATCCTACTTTGTAAATGGTTTGATGAATTAAAGGTATGTTTTTCTCCCCAAGTAGCTCTGGTTCTTTAGCCATCACCTTAAATGGTAGATTATTGCCCTCCCTATCCTTAATCTCAAACCCTTGAGCCTTTTTGGTTGAATTGTCTCCCTCCACATCTCTGTGGAAATGGGAGTGGGAGGAGGAATGAGCTGGAGATCACTTTTTTTTGTCACAGTCAGCTTGACACTAGGCTGTGGTGTGTGGTGTGAGTGGAATAACAGTTCCAGAAGCTTCATTTCAGGAAGGAAATGTCTGTGGAGAAAAAAGAAAGGGAGGGGTGAGGAAAAAAAAGAAATATAGTAAACAATGTAGTGAATGAAAGAGGGGACACCTCAGTGAAAATCTGTGTCTGCTTATCTTGTGTGAGGACAGGAAAAGGGATATTCTTACAAAAGCCCACCCTGCATTCTTATGGGTGACTGAGAACTTGCATGTTGTCTTACCTGTGTCCTTTGCTCAGTGCACAGGTATGGAAATCTGGTGATGGAGTTACGTTGTTTCAGAGAGTGGTTGCTTCTCTCTGATTCAGCTCTGTGCTAGGGGCTGTCTGTGTCAGATAATCCAGTGCAAGCCAAGGGAGGCTCAGCACCTTGATTTTCATCAGGGCTCACCTACTTCTCTGTAACATTTCTGTACTCTTGCACAGAGGGGAGGTTCCAAGAAGCTGAGGTGACAAACCTAACGTTACAATGCTTACATAGGTCTTCCTTTCTGTAATCTTTATCTGAATGCATTCAATGGTCGGGTTGCAAATGACACTGCATCTCATTGATAGTGTTTTTTCTTCTTGGTTTACAACAATTTCTGCAAACAGATTTAACTTGGTTTGATTTTTCAGTTGAAAAACAGTACCACATAAATAGCATCCGGATCTCGATTTAGTGAAAACACCTGGTTTTATGCTTGATGGAATTAATCAGCTTAATGCTGCCTTTTTTGTACTTAGGAAAACCTCATTTGATTTTTAATTATGTGGCTTTTTTATGATTTAACAGGTCATCAGTGTCTATAAAATTGCTTGTGCTTTTATTCACAGTAGAGCAAACAACATGCATTTGCTTTTCAAGCTGTGACATAGAAACGTTCAAGTATGGATGTGAAGTAAATGGGAGGCATGGTACAGTTCACTTCCCGCTTTTGGGCACCTCTGGATTGCGTCTTGGTCTCCCTGGAGACTTCAGTTATCATTAAATTGTCAGCTAGCCTAAGGCCTTCCGCTGTTATTTCTGTGCAAGCAGAATGAAATTTCGGCTTCATGGTCAAACAAGATACATAAAAACTGTAGTCCAGTGGTTAGCACGCTTGTTTATCTCCAGTGAAGCTTAATTAGCTTAGAGAATTGTGGGAAACACTGTCATCCTGGTCCCAGAATGAACACCAGCATGAGGGTCAGGCTGATGTGATCACTTTGCAGAGGAAGCTGGGAACAGGAAGACGGTAGAATTGTATTCCTGTACTTTAAACTAAAGTCTCTGTCTCATAGTAAAGGCATATAGGATGTACTATCCTGACTACTTTAAATGCAGAACATAGGATACAAATAGAAATGCAAAATACAGTTAGACAGTTTTTCTTAATTAAAAAAAAAAAGTTCTGACTGGGGGGTGATGGCATTAGGGGTACTTGATGTCTGTATGTGTGTGTGTGTAAGGTGCGCTATAGGCAGGCTTACCACACTCACCTTCTTTGAAAAAAACTGGGCAAGCATGGAGCTTTCTGGAGATAACTGGTAGAACAGATGGGTTCCTTCCACATTTAAGCATTTGTACAGCAGCAGTGTTTTTCTGTCTGGCTTTTTTGTACATGGGTGTTGTGGTTTAAACCTGGCCAGCAGCCAGGTACCCACACAGCTGCTCTCTCACTCCCCCTTCTCCACTATACCGGGGGAGAAAATATTTCAAAGGGCTTAAGATTTGAGATAAGGACAGGGAGATCACTTTCATTTACCATCCTGGGCAAAACAGACTCGATTTTGGGGAAATTAATTACATCTATTTAAAGAACAAATCAGAGAGGAGTAGTAAGAAG